AAGATACCAGCATTGGCTTAATCGTTACAGACAAAAAAACTACATTTTTCAGGAAGTGATAACAAAAGGATCGCTGCCCATGGATACTGTTTTCATCCGATCGATGATGATGGATATAGCCTCGGTAAGTCCATTATATATTGTTGTCTGATCTGATAATCTGCTCTAAAAATAATTCTTAGGGCCTTCACTTCATCCACGAATCGGCTATGCATGTGCATGGACGTCTTACTTCTCAGGTATTACCCGTACATGTATATGATAATTTACCTTATTGATAGCTGGAGGACGAGGAATACAATTTAGAGTTGCATGGTGGACGACAGATGGCAGGTGAAAATCTCCTACTATGGTATGACGTGCATAAAAGAATATGAAAGAAGAACGGAAGAGGGTGAGATTATCATCGGACTACGATTCAAGGGCATTTACCAGTCAAAAAGTTAAAATAGCTTGTTACCAACGAGGTTCCTATCTAGAACAGCTATGGACAGCACCAGAAATTCTACGAGGAGAAGTTGATGATATCGGCACCCAACCGGGAGATGTTTACAGGTCCTGCATAGATTTTTGTTTTACGGAAGTTAATTTAGCGTAATTTCAGTTTCGCTATAATTGCCAGTGAATTGGTGACCAAAAAGACTGCGTGGGATCTTGATAATAGAAAGGAGAACGCTGACGGTGAAAAAAACAGCAAAAAATTGACCAAAATTTGACAAATTACTGTACTTCTCAACTTTAGACATTATTCGAAAGGTTACCAAACCATCCATGGACCCTTTTAGACCAGCCTTGGAGATTCATGAGAGTATTGAAATCATACCATCGCTGGTTGGTACAAATTTGTTATCTCTTCTCGAAAGTCAGTAGTATTGTGCAATGACTCAGATCAATCTGATTCGTGAATGTTGGTCTGAATGGCCACGACATCGCCCTGAAATGAAGAAAGTCAAATCATTACTTTCTTCTATGCAAACAGGAAAGTATGTGACTCTCTTGAGTTTTCTGAAACCCTCCAGTAATTTGGTGATTGTAGGAAACTGAATCTTATGGATCATGTAATGAATACTTTGGAAAATTATGCCAGTTCATTGGAGGCAGAAGTTGAAGAACGAATGAAGGAGCTTGTGGAAGAGAAAAAGAAGAGCGATGTCCTTCTCTACAGGATGCTACCAAGGTGCTCAAAATCAAAGATATCCTGCTTGATCGCACAGTCCAGGCAGAATTGTAATACTTGTGTACATTTTGGTAGCAAAACTTCAAGTGAGGCATTTCCTCTAGGAGGCAGTTCTAGGATTTACTACAACTTACTACTTGCCTAGACCGTTCTTTACTGGGACAGCGTGGATACGGTAAAAAGCACGGCCTGGGCGAGAGTTCAGAGTCGAATTTTTAGGCCAAGAATGAATGTGATAAGCTGCCGGATGCGCAATAGCTTATTGTTAGATGGCCAGTTAAGTATATGAAGAATATACAAATTTTTTAAACGCGTCTTTGAACGAATGATTCTGCCAGATAGTGAAATCAGATTGAGTGTTTCAGACAAGTTGCGGAAAAGCTCAAATCTGGAGTGCCCATAGAACCTGAAAGCT